GTCCTCTTCTCTATTTCCTTTCCCCCCAGCCAGCTTTTCCTCCCCAGAGTTCCTGGACTTCTCTGTCCCTTTGTTCCTGCTGCTCCCCACTCCCCACACACACATCAGGTCACACCTACTTATTCTGTTTGGGTCATGTCTGTCAAGAAGGATCCCCTCAGATGAGGAGATGGGTAAATGGCATAGGGGTAAGCAGCTCTGACAAGGGGGGATAGAGAGCCTGTGTGTAAACACTGGCCTTGGAGCAGACACGTACTTAGAGCCCTTCTGTCTCCCTAGCTAGTCTTTTCAGTCCCATCTTGCCTGCCAGGTTACTTTTCTACTGCAGGTAAAGAAGAAAAGAGGGAGAGGGGAAAGGGGTACATGAGGAGAGGGGAAGAGTGGTTTTTGTCCAGGAGAAGAGGAGGAGGAAGAGGAAGGGGCTGGGGTGGGAGGACAGCAGTTTCCATGGTAACAAGCCGGTCAGCAAGCGCAGGATCTGAGAACTCATCTCTAGAATCTGGGCCTGTTGGATTGGTTGGTTTGGGGGTGGGGGAGAGATAGGGAAGAGGATAGAGTAGATTGAGTAAGGGAATCAGAGATATGAGATAGGGACTAGGCCTATTATTCTACTAGACATTAATTATATTAATGGCTCTTTTAAAGCTAGGATAACCACAGTCCCTCATCAAGAGTCCACCTCTAGCCTCTCAGGCCTCCAGCCCCAGAGCATCCTCTGACCCCACAAGGGCCTCTATCTTGACTCCAGATCCCAAAAGAACCAGTGTTAAGTTCCCTGATTCTCCCTGTCTGGGCAACAGACTCAGTTTATAGTTAAATCCCATGCCCTTCCCCCACCTCTTGGTTATTCCTAGTTAATCTGAATGGGAAACTGGGTGTGTCTTGCCCCCAGGGAGAGAACCTGATCTTATTGTCTAACAATGACTGAAATTGAGGCAACTGGGAGAAGGAGACATTGAGCTAATATCCTCTGCTTCTGCCCAGAGAACCTTCTTTGGTAGTCTTGCTGCGGGCCTGGGGGCCATGGGCCTAGGCTTCTGAAGCTTACTTAGCACAGCTGTAACCTGTGTGGATGGGGTTTAAATTCCAAAATGAAATAAATTAGGTATGTGAAACTATCTAGTTGACATAGAAGGCTCAGAGAGAGCATTGGGGAGGGAAGGGGATAGAGTACCATCTATTCGTGAGGAGGGAGAATTGGAACAGTTTTGATATAATAGGGGATGATGGGAGAGTATGGGAGCAGCATAGAGAGATATGGAGTCAAGGAGGGGATGGTGCAGCATTTGTATGAAGGAAGAGGGATTATGGAGAGGATGGACCATAGATTTATAGGATCTGGAGCTACAAGAGGTTTTAGAGGTAATCTAGTACAATTCCCTCATTTTACATATGGTTTTTAAAATTTTTTTTTTTACTTTTTTTTTCTTTTTTAGGCAATTGGGGTTAAGTGACTTGCCCAGGGTCACTCAGCTAGTAAGTGTCAAGTGTTTGATCTGAGACCGGATTTGAACTCAGGTCCTCCTGACTTCAGGGCCAATGCTGTATCCACTGCACCAACTTAGTTGCCCCCTCATTTTACATATGAAATAAAATAAGTCAGATTGCCTATGCTACAGAGAAGGATAATGGCTTCTGGTGGACAGTAATAATAATAACTCATATATATATATATAGTCCTTTCAAGTTTGGAAAGTTGGCATAGATTTACCTCTCTACAAATTAAGTACTCTTTCCGCTATGCACATGTATGTTTGTACGTGTGTGTGAATGTGTGCATGTGTGTATGTGTAGGGCCGAAAGGATCATGGAAGTGTAGGAGAAATATGTGTAAATTGTGATAAAGGGTTCTGAAGATGATGGAGTACTCTGTGTTTGGCAAGGGGTGAGAGGTGGGCCTGGGTCCAGTGAGCTTTCCTGGATGGAGGAAATGATGTGTTTGTTGGTGGCAGGAATGAAACTAGTAGATAGGAGGTAAGCTAGGTGGTATAGTGGATAGAGCTCTGGCCTTGGAGTCAGGAGGACCTGAGTTCAAATCCAACCTCATGCACTTGACACTTACTAGCTGTGTGACCCTGGGCAAGTCACTTAACCCCAATTGCCTCCTCCCCCCAAAAAAAGAAACTAGTGGATAAGGAAAGATTGGAGATGATTAAGCAGGGGGATGACTTGGGGGACAATCTATATAGAAGATGGGATTAAGGGTGCATGTAGAGAAGTGGTTATCTATTCATTAAAGATGAGTCAAAGGAGGAGAGAATGGCTGTGATGTCCAAGGAAGGGGGAGGGGGAGGCCTGAGGAAAAGAGAAGGTTTGGAACCATCTCTTTGGGGAATGGAAATTGAGGAGGGAAGGATTGCCCTGCTGTGGTGAGGACTCAAGTGAGATTAGAAACATAAATTTGTAATGGACCCAGTCCTCTGGCTTGAGTGATTTCCCCTAGCTTTGTAAATCCACTGAAATTACAAGGGTTTCTTTTTTTCAAGCAAACCCTTGCCTATCTACACCTCGTATTTTTTATTTATGAAGTTGATTTTTAGACCTAGTTGCTTCCTATTAAATCTCATCCTGTTAGGTTTAGGAGAAGTAGTGGAGTGCAGTTTAATGAGGTCAGATTGAAATGAAAACAGATCACATTATCTATGTCATGTCATATTTTTATTTATTTTGTTAAATATTTCCTAAGTACATTTTGATCTGGTTTGGACACTGACTGGTGAGTTTTACTGCAGGTTTGACCCCTCAGGTATAGTGAGTAAAGAGCTGTCCTTGAAGTTAGAAAGTCTTGCCTGTGGCACATGAGACCATAGGACCCAGGGCAGATCGCTTTCCTTCCCAGTGCTCTAGGCCAGTGGCATCAAATTCAAATAGAAAATAGGGCCACTAAACCAGGGCATATTGACTTAGAAAATGTCAAGTTAACATTTTCCGTTTTTATTTATTTTGTTAAACATGTCCCAGTTGTGTGTTAGTCTGGTTAGGCCCTACTCCAGTGTTCTGGGCCTCTCCTTTAGGCAGCTCTCTCAGACTCAAAGTTGCAAGGGAAGGTATCAACCTGCATTGGCAGAGAGTATTTCCTCACTGTAGAGTTCTCTGTACCTATGAAATTCAAGGTTTAGTCTTCATCCTTATTAGATTTGACCCCACGTTCTAGGGAATTAGGATCTTTTTTCTTCCTGACTCTGCCATCTACTGTCCTAGACATTCTGACTAGCTTTGAGTTATCTGCAGACTTAGTCACGATGCCATCTCTGCTTTTTTCCAAGACTTCAGAAAGCATATTCAGTGGTACAGGATTGAATACAGAACCCTGGGGCTCTCTACTGGCGGTGCCTCACACTCACTTTGGACATTAACTACTGTTCTTCCAGTTAGGCCATTCAGTTGCTTTCACATCCATCTACCTGCATTGTTAACTGTCTGGAGCCTTCCTGCTCCAGCACCAGAGAAGTTGTCCCAGGTGCTGCCTGGGATGTTGTCCCTCCTCCCTCTGTTGCTTCATCAGGAATCCCTAGCTTCCTCCAGGGCCCAGCTCAGCTGCCTCTTCCTCTCAAAAACCTTGCCCTATTCTCCTGGTTGATGTTCCCTCCTTGCTCAGACAGGCACTGTGCCAAACCCTAGGGATACAAAGAACATAAAAACAGTCCCTGCCCATGAGGAGCTGACAGTTTGAATGGGAGAGACCCCATGCAAACATGCAAAGAACTCTGTGCATACAAGATCTACACAACATAAATGGGTGGTAATCTCAGAGGGTATACACTACCCTCTAGAACTGGGGAGACCACAAAGAACCTTTGCTGAAGGGGGGATTCAAGATGAGCCTTGAGGGAAGCCAGGCAGCAGAGCTAAGGAGGGAAAGTCTTCCGAGCATGGGGGACAGTGCATGCAAGGGTCATGTGGAAGGAGCTCCACGCAGGCCAATATTGCTGGAGCTCAGATTGTATAGAGAGGAGTAAAGTATAGCCTGGATGGTAGAAGGGGCCAGAATGTGAAGGGATTTAAATAAAGCACCAAACAGCATTTTGTATTTGATCCTGGAGACAGTAGGGAGCCACTGGAGTTTAGTCAGTCAAATGGTGACATGGTTACAGCGATCACTAGGGAGATCACTAGGGTAGCTGAATGGAGGATGGACTGCAGTGAGGAGAGACGTGAGGAGGGCAACCAACAAGAAGCCTGTTACAGTAGTCCAGAGAAGAGGTGATGGAACCTACACTGGGCTGTACATACTTCTCTGTGGACATTCTGCTAGCTTGGGTTCTAAGCTCTTTGAGGCCAGAGTCTTTTCTTTCAGTCTTCATAATGACCATCATATACTAAGAGCCTAACAAATGTTGGATTGGATTGAATTGGACACCTGTTAAGGAGTCACTGCAGTAATAAAGGTGTGAATTGGGATAATGGCAGGATGGAGGTGATAACTTCAGGAGACTTTTCAGAAGTAGAATGGTCAGGGTTGGATAACTTGTTGGACTTGAGAGGTGAGGGAGGGTTAAGGGGGAGTCAGACATGGCAAAACAGTGCCACCACAGGTCATAGAGAGGGAGCTGTGGGTGTGAAGGTGGGGGACATGGAGGATTGGGAGTTGGTCTAGATAGTGTGATGGGGCTTAGGGAATTAGGAAGATGAGAAAGCAGTGGAGTAGGGGCTATAAAGTTGAGGAGAGTGAGGGGATGGGAGATTATGGAAGAGAGAGGGCAGTGTATATATCTTTAAGGTTGAGGATTGTGTGAAGGATGGGGTTGCATATGTGTGGGGATCTGTGGATGAGACAATGTGTAGGGAAACAGATAGAGAGTATTGGAGAGTGAGTGGGGTTTGGGACATGGAGTGATAAGAAGGAGGATGTTGGAAGGACTGAGGCCCAGGTCCTGCTGAGTTTTTCCTTGTATCTTTCTGCATATCTGAGATCTTGGATGGTGGTATCCTTGGGTCAGTGGCTATGCTGCCGTGGGTACTGAGCTTGCTGTTTATCCCTACCTCTCCCATTGTCCCAGGCGAGCACTGTGAGGTGAGTGCCCGCTCAGGCCGATGTGCTCCCGGAGTCTGCAAGAATGGGGGCACCTGTGTCAACTTGTTGGTTGGCGGTTTCAAATGCGACTGCCCATCAGGTGACTATGAGAAACCTTATTGCCAAGTGACCACACGCAGCTTCCCGGCTCGATCCTTCCTCACCCTCCGAGGCCTTCGGCAGCGCTTCCATTTCACCCTGGCCCTCACGTAAGTGATGATGGGGAGAGGGCCTAGATTGGGGAGGGGCAGTCCCAGAGAAAAGGGATTGGGGGAACTGGGAGAAGAGTCTAAACTAGAAACTTGTGGGCTCCAGGCAGTGTTTGAAAATTGTATAACTTCTCCTCATCCTTATCCACAAGTTTAAAACTTGTGCCCTGCCCCACCATGTTTCTGAGAGGCAATGTGACATGGTGGATAGAGTGCTGAACTTTAATATCCCCCGTCTGACATTAAGTAGCTGTATGACCTTGGGCAAATCACTTACTTAACCTCTCTTGGACTCAATTTCCTCATCTGTAAAATGGAGATAATCATAGCATCTCCTTCTCAAGACTCTTGAGAAGACCTGAGATAATCTATGTAAAGCACTGTGGAAGATTTATAGTGCTATTTAGATGTGAGCTGTTACTATTAATGCTATTACTGTCCAATAGAGGCTATAACCCTTTTCTGTGACACATGGAATTTGACTTAGCACAAAATGAATATGTGCCATGAAGAGAGGACTTTGGGCACATTAAAAGTATGTGAATTGATAAGAATGGAGAGGTGGGGATTTGGAATTTCTGTTGGTTTGGGAAATTCCTAGTTGAGGACTCTCTGTCCACTACTCCTTCGTTACAGTTATCATCTCAGAGAGTTGCCCAGAGCCAGGAGTGGCTGGGGCTTGACTCAGAGGCGAGGCTTTCAGTCACATTTCTCTGGCTGCCCAGCACCACCTCTCTTGTGCATTTGTAATGTACCTAGAATTACACATAAAAACATGTGCTTACAAAAAACAGTTTGGAAAATATTCCTTGTTTTGGCCCTTGGATGTTGAGCTGTTTACTTTTCTTGGTCTTGTTCTGACTTGGAGTAGCAGGACAGTAATTCTCCCTGGCATTTCCACAGTGATTGATAATCCCATGAGTTTTCACATATGATCCTCACAACAACCCTCTCAGGTAGGCAGGGGGGTTGGTGGGATCTCTGTTTTACTCATGACTAACCTGAAACCTCGGGATGTTATCATGGTTGTCACACAAGTCATTGGCAGAGCTAAGCCTAGAACCCAGGTCTCCTGTGTTTTCACCTAGTGCAAGTTCATAACGAATCTGCTTCTGCTGGCTGTCTTCCCTGGGGAGTCCCCAGAGGAGAGGAGGCCCTTCCTTAGGGAAGGGGGCTACCTCCTGGTTCTTTGAATGTACCTACCCCCTTCCCATGCCTCTGCTCCCACAGTCCGCAGCCCTACAACTTGGATGCTCCTGTCCTCTGGGCAGGCCTGCTTACTCTCACACCCAGCTCATCTAGGGGTTCACTCTCTACAACATCCTGCATATTTCTTAGTCTCTCCCTACCCCCCAAGCAGGTTTGCCACAAAGGAGAGGGACGGGCTTCTTCTGTACAACGGGCGCTTCAATGAGAAGCATGACTTTGTGGCCCTTGAAGTGATTCAGGAGCAGGTCCAGCTCACTTTCTCTGCAGGTGTGCCTCTTCTTTTACCTTTGTTTGTCTTTCTTTGCCTCTTGCTGTCTCTCCAGGCCCCATGTATTCATCTTTGGCCTTGCTTACTTCTCCTGAGGACAGCATGTCATCCCAAAATGTACCCCTTCCTCCTACTTCATCAGCAGGTCCCAGAGGGCCTTGTTTCACTTTGTCTTCCTTTTCCCAGGGGAGTCAACGACCACCGTGTCTCCATTTGTCCCTGGAGGGGTCAGTGATGGCCAGTGGCACACTGTCCAACTTCAGTACTACAATAAGGTGAGGCTTGTCTGGACGCTGTCAGGAGGAGGGGACTGTTCCAGGAGCTCCGGCTCCTCTGGAATTGAGGCAGAGAAGCCTTAAGGGGGTCATGATGGCCTTCAGAGATGTGAAGGATTGTCATGGGGAAGGGGATCTGATTTGTTGTGCTTGGCTCCCCAGGGGGCAAAAATGTGACCAGTGGGTAGTCCCTTCAGAGAGGTAGATCTCAGGACTTCTTGTTTGACAGTTAGGGCTTTTGGCCACCAGAGTCAGCAGCATGACAGTGACTAGGGTGTTGGCTGCCATGGCAGCAGAGATGGCTTCAGCACCTGAGTCTTCCACATATCGGCCCTATGACCCTGGGAAAGTCCCGTCACTTCTCAGTTACTCTAGGCAATTTTTTTCCAATTATCTATTGCAGCACAGCTGCTGATCTGCTTTGGAAGAGGGAATGTCCTTACCAGGATTTCTCTACACCTCTGAACAAACAGAATAAATGAGAGCTGTCCCAAAGGAAAATGTGCTTCTTTGGGAAGTGGTGGGTTCCCCATTCCTGGAGGTATTCCCAAAAGGAGGCTGATTGACTGCTTGTGGGGGAAGGTACAGAATTGGACCAGATCTGGGGTCCAGGGATAAATTTCAGTGGGTCCGTGAACATGGGTGGCAGACTTGATTCCAGGAAGAGCTCCATGGGTTTCACCAGACTGCCACAAAGGTCTGCACTACAGAACTGTGTGTCACGTGAACTCATGGACAAGTGAACTCAAAAGTCTGAACAGACTTCTTCAGAATCTTGTTTTTATTGGTATCCTTTCTTTTACATCACTTTCATTTCATCCTTACTCCCCCCACTTATGAAGTTATTTCTTATAATAAAGATAATCTAATAGATGTATACATATGCATATATATACATATATATGAAATAATGATAAATAGAAAAAAGAAAAAGAGTTCAGCAAAACCAGCCAACACATCAGCTGGGCCTGATAGTCTGTAGACATGACATGCCACACCTGTAGTCCTTCCTTTGCAGAGACTCAGCTATTCGGTTGAGTTTCTGTGACGGTCATTGTGTGTGTTCTTTCCTGGGTGCCATAGACTAGGGAGGTCTATGTCACAACCTAGGCCTTCCCCTGCCTCTCTGAATTCTTCCTAGTCTTAGACCACAGTGCTAGTCTGTTGCCTTGTGCATCATTTTTGTCCAGTGGTTCCCCAGTCCAGTCATCTGATATGTTTCCATAAAAAGTGAGCCTCTAAATATTTTGGTGGACCCGAGAACATACATTTTATCATTGTTGTCCTTGGGGGGGAAATACCTAGCAATGGGATGTTTGGATGAAAGAGCATGGATGTTTTGGTCACTTTCTCAGCCTGATTCCAAATTGTTTTCCAGACTGTTCAAGGCAGTCCCTAGCCCCACCAGCAGCGTATTCACATGTCTGTCCTGTCAGCTTCACTAGTTTGCTGGGTACGAGGTGAAACCTCAGCTGTTTGATTTAACCAACCATAAGTTTTGTGCTGTGGGTGTGGTGCTTAGCTATGAGGTTACAAAGATAGAAACCCAAGGAATAGTCTCTGCCTTCAAGGGCCTTGCATGCTTCTGAGGTGCTGCAAAATGAGGCAGCTGGGTTGCATAGTGGGTAGAGAGAGCTCTGGGAGTCAGGGAGTCCTGAGTTCAAATCCTGCTTCAATGAGACACTTGAGTTGTAGTGATGCTGAACCTCATTCTTTTCATGGATAGAAGTAAGGATAATAAAAGTACCCATCTCACAGCATTGTTGTAAGCACCAAAAAGATATAATCATGTAAATTGCTTTGCAAACTTAGATAAATGCTAACTCTAAATGGGCCGTCCTTCCTGCCAGGGCATTTGTTTGAGCAGGCCGTGCCTATCACCTCCCGCCATCTCTGTCGTCATCACCTGTAGCATCCCCTAAACGGTGTTACGGGGAGGACACAGTGAATGGATAAAGGGATTGAGTGTGCCTGGGTATTAGGGTGTCTGGCCAAGCCAGGTTGTGACCCCTTCCTCTCTTTCTCCTCCACAGCCACTGCTAGGCCGCTCTGGACTCCCACAAGGCCCCTCTGAACTTAAAGTGGCCGTGGTGACAGTAGATGACTGTGACCCTGGTGTGGCACTGCGTTTTGGATCTGTCTTGGGGAACTACTCCTGTGCTGCCCAGGGCACCCAGGCTGGCAGCAAGAAGTGAGAGGGGTGGGAGGCAGGGGCTGGGTGCCAGAGGGCTGGGCATGTTCTTCATATCTTTCCCTCTTCCCTGCCAGCCATGCTGAGTCTCAGGTGTGGGGCATGGAGGAGGAGAGGAGATGAGCAGGAAATGAAAGAAATCTAAGAGCCAAAGAATTAGGTTAGGGGACAGCAGAGGATTTATAGGGGCCTGAGTGCAGGTCAGGGCACTGTGACCAACTGTGGATGTTATCGTCGGCTCATCCTGAATCTTTGTGTCCCCCCATCACCAGTCCTGCCCAGGGTCTGCCAGTTGCCTCTTTTGGAGCCTAAGCTCAGACCAGCTAGAGGTCAGGGCCCAGGGAGGTTCAAGAATTCTACTACCTCCCTCTCCCCTTACTTCTACCCTTCTGTGATGTCTGGATCAGATCCCTGGATCTGACAGGTCCCCTGCTACTGGGAGGGGTCCCTGACCTGCCTGAGAGCTTTCCTATCCGTACCCGCCACTTTGTGGGCTGTATGCGAAACCTGCAGGTAGATGGCCGGCGTGTCGACATGGCTGACTTCATCGCCAACAACGGCACCATGCCCGGTATGAGGGGACAGGAGTGGGGAGACCGTAGGGGCGGGGGGACAGCGCTCCTTCACCACAGTGGAAGGGAGAGCCGGCTCCTGTCACTCTGCCAGGGGCTGCCCGGGCACCAGGCCCACCCTGAGACCCTCTGCCTCTTCCAGGGTGCCCAGCCAAGAAGAACGTGTGTGACAGCAACACCTGCCACAATGGGGGTACCTGTGTCAACCAGTGGGATACATTCAGCTGCGAGTGTCCTCTGGGCTACGGTGGCAAGAGCTGTGCCCAGGGTAAGCTGGCAGGTTAGGGCTGAATGTGGGGCAGGCTCCGCTCACTCTGGCCTCCTGCTCCTCCTCCAGGCTTGGGAGCCGGGATGTCTTAGACAGAGCACGTCTGTCTGTGGGTGGAAAAGCTTGCCTGGGCGAAGCTGCCCGGGGGTGGGCAGCAGAGGAGACAATGGGCCCAGTCAGACTGCGGGTCTGAGCTTGGCTCCCAGGGTGTGGTGGGAAGAGCATTGTGGGGCTGGGATTGAGGGTGAGTGGGCAGGGCAGGGATCTGCCACACATGGACAGCTATACCCTACACCCCCTTCCCCACGGCAGAAGAGTTCCCCTGATTGCTTCACCCGTTGTCTCATTTCCTTGACTTCTTCAGAGATGGCAAATCCTCAGCGCTTCCTGGGTAGGAGCCTAATGGCCTGGCATGGCGTGGCACTTCCTATCACCCAGTCCTGGCACCTCAGCCTCATGTTCCGTACGCGCCAAGCCGATGGTGTCCTGTTGCAGGGGATCACCAGAGGGCACAGTACCATCACCCTACAGGTAGACACTCAGAATGGGTTTGGCAAGGGGTCGGAATAGAGAAGAGGGGACGGATCCCTGGGATAAAAGCTGGGACAGGGCATTTGGATCAGAAATGGCATCGATACCTAGGAAGGCCCTTGTCTTCTTTGGGGTGGACAACAGTGCCATCTGCTGGACACACGCATTACAACCCTCTGTGCCCTTTTTGTAGGTTGACTGGTGGGTGGGTGGGTGGGCAAGGCAGATCAAAGCAGTTCCCAGACCTTTTTATCTTCTCTGCTCTCTCCCTGCCCCAGATGAGAGAGGGCCACGTGATGCTGAGTGTGGAGGGGACCGGTGTGCAGATGTCCTCTCTTCGGCTGGAGCCGGGCAGGGCTAACGATGGGGATTGGCACCATGTGCAGCTTGTGCTTGGAGTCAGTGGAGGTGCCCAAGAGCCTGGCCACGCTGTCCTATCATTTGACTATGGGCAGCAACAGACAGAAGGCAACCTCGGACCCCGGCTGCACGGACTCCACCTCACGAATGTCACAGTGGGCGGTGCGGTGGGACCTGGCGGAACTGTGGCCCAGGGCTTCCGGGGCTGCATGCAGGTGAGTGTTGGGGAGAAACTGCCCTTTCTCCTGGCAGCCTGCCCACTCGGACTGGCCCTGCCCTCCTCACTCTGAGGGATGGGAATACTGCCTCTTTTCCCCAGGGCGTGCGAGTGGGTGAGACCGCAGATGGTGCCAGCGGCCTTGACCCCGGCAGAGCAGAACGTGCCAATGTCGAGCAGGGCTGTAGCCTCCCTGATCCTTGTGACTCAAACCCCTGCCCCACTAACAGCTACTGCAGTGATGACTGGGACAGCTACTCCTGCAGCTGCGATCCTGGTACTGCACAGGGGCATAGTGGGGAGATGGATGGTCAGGCACTATGGGGAATAGGGGACCACAGAGAGACAGAGGGTGGGCCTATAGAGGGAGGGTGGGCCACTAGGGGAAGAGGAGGTGAGCATAAAAATGAGGCCAAGAGGACTAAGCCTTGATGGCTTAGTCTGTGGCCTCAGGTTACTACGGTGATAGCTGTGCCAATGTCTGTACCCTGAACCCCTGCGAGCACCAGTCCGTGTGTACCCGTAAGCCCAGTGCCCCTCATGGCTACACCTGCGAGTGTCCCCACAACTACTTCGGGCCGTACTGTGAGACCAGGTGCGTGGCCTTGGGTTGGGGCAGAGGGTCAGTAGTCTTCATGGGAGGCTGGAATGTTGTAGAGAGGATTTCCTATTGAGCAGGGGATGGGCCAGATGGCCTCAGAAATCCTTTCTAGTTCTTCTACATGAGTGGCCATATGGGGGCAAGAAACCTATCCTTGCCCTAAAATGAATGTGTTTAATAATCACTGACTGTGCAAGGCAGAGTCCAGCTGCTGTAGTGGACTGAGAGGCAGCCTCAGAGTGAGGAAGGCCTGGGTGCCAGTCCTGCCTTTGGCACATGTTGTCTTTCTGACCCTGGGTACCTCTCAGGTACAGGTCTGCATTGGTGAGAGGGAATGAATTCCTCATCAGGAATTCCTGATACCAGGGAAACATGGTTTAGTCCCTTTGGAATGTGCTGGACACTCTCTTAGGTTCTGGGGATGAAAAGACAATAATGACAGTCCCTGCTGTAGAGGCAGCACCATGGCACAACGGAGAGAATACTCAGCTTGGAGTCAGGAAGACCCAAGTTCAAATCCTGCATCACTCAGAAAGCTGTGTGACCTTGGGCAAGTCACTTAACCTTTTTAGTCTTGGTCTTGTCATCTGAAAAATGAGGAAAATAACAACATCTACTTCACTGAGTTGTTATGAGGGTCAAACAAGTTGTGTAAAGTGCTTTGCAAACCTTAGAGTACCATAAATATTAGTATTATTATTATAAAACTATGTCATGTTAGATGTTATTATTCAAGAAGCTTAGCAACTGGGGAGAGGGAGAGATAAGGAATAACTTCATCAGGGAATCACCGAGCATTTGTTAATTGTCTACTTGTGCCAGGTGTGGTACTAAGCTCTAGAGACACAAAGAAAGTAAAAAATATTGTCCTTGTCCTCAAGGTGCTTCCCTTGTAATGGGGGAGACCGAGTATAAATAATGATATACACCCAAAGTCTCTACAGAGCAGAAAAGGTGCTGGCACTGGGGGACAGGGCCATACCTCCTGTAGAAGGTGGGATTTAAATCTTGAAGGAAGCGTGAAAGATGAAGAGAGAGAAGTGAAAGAGGAGGGCCTTCCAGGCATAGGGGACAGCCAGGTCAAAGGCATGCCAGGGTGTGAGGAGCAGCGGCAAGGCCAGCGTGGCCAGATCAGAGCGTGGGGTGTTGGCAAGGACGAGCGAGAAGGGCTTGGGTTGTGAAGAGCTGGGCAGGCCAAATTGAGGACTCTCTACTGGGTCCTGGAGGTAATAGGGAGCCCCTGTGATCTTAGGGGGAAAGGGGCAGGACTAGGCAGACCTAGGCTTTGGTCAGATCCTTGAGACAGGGAGGCCAGTTAGGAGGCTATTGCAGTAGTCCAGACCAACCTGAATTAGGTAGTGGCCACACGAGTGGAGAGGAAGGGACACACAGGAGAGATGTTTGAAGGGAGAGACGACAGGGTCGACAATGGATGGGAGATGTGGGATGAGTGAGAGGGAGGGGCATTTGGGCTGAACCTCAAAGGATGTTCCAGACTTGGAGGGAAGGAGGGAGTACATTCCAGGTCTCAATGTGCTTCACACTGTATATTTAATCTGTGTGTCACACTGTGTCATAGATTTAGGGCTGGGAGGGACCTCCGAGGGCTCTAATACAGCTCACTCCATGGTGTGGAGGCCAGAGTAGGGAAGGGACTTTACTCAGGTCACACAAGGTATCACATAAGTCACATAAGTATCAGAGGCAGGTTGAATCCAGGTCATCTGACTGCTGAACCGATATTCTCTTCCACTGTGCC